TCCAGCTATTACACTAGGCTCTGGTGTGTTATCTAAGCCCTCAGGGCCTATGACTTGGATTTATTCTAGCAATACCAGTGTTTGTTGGAGTCACACACACAAAAAATATGTACTTTTGATATTTGGAATTGTTTGGATGGGCGAGAGAGAACAAAGAATTCCTTTGTAATCATCATCAGTAACTTATTTTGGGCCCTTCTAATGGGCTAAGCGCTGATTATGAACCCAGCCTAAATTTGAGCCTTCAGTAGCTTGAGCTCTTCTGTATCTAAGGCATAGTAAACTGGAAGAATTAAGAACTACACCACAGATTTCTCATTTGTCATGTTCTACAACATGCTTTTATATGAGCTACTTTTTTCTGAACTCCATTGTTCATATGATTGGCAGAAGGAGTTGGTACCCAAGAGGCCAAACACAGGCATCCTAGGTTCCTGGTAAAGTGCTTATTGCATTTAAGTTTCTTGCAACTGTAGCCAGTAATCAGCATAACAGCACCACGAGGGTCACTACCATATGTCTGAACTGAGAAATAGCCATTCCTATAAACCTATAAAAAACCACTTTGGGATAACAAACATAGGGTCTAGATTAGACGGATTATCCATTATTTTCAAAGTCTGGAGGATTTTTGACAAACAATGGACATATTCTATTAAACAGTAGAGAAGTAGAAACTTGACCAAAAACCATTCTAGGGGAAAAACAGGGACCAGTCCCTCCTCCCCGCCTGCCCCCTAGAGATCCACATTGAAGTCTCAGAGGGGAAGCTTCTATGTTTATTTGATTTGGGGACAGAGTTGGCGGGGCGTGATAGGAAAGGCATTGAAAGAACTAAATAATGCGGCAGATGAGTTAGAAGGCTTGTGGGGGAGAGGTTTTCAGACATGTTTCATAAGATTTTAACTATTTTCAATTAATACGCATATAGGTTCTCAATTCAAAAAGGATAATATAAGTTTCCTTTGTCCCATCTCCCAGTCTAGAGGGGGTATTTGGTATAGGTCGAAGTACTTGTGTTTCCTTCCAGAAATCTGTATAAATGTACAAGCATGGGCTTGTACTTTTACACAAGCAGTGTTGGTTTTCTATGAATAAATCTCGACTAGCATTTCCCATTCTTACAGGTAGAGAGCTGCCTCCATTCTTTGGGACAACTCCATGCAATCGTATACTGTTGTACAGATGCATTAAGTCATTCACCTTCCACTGATGACTCTGTAGCTTTACAAATAATTCTCTAGTGACTAGCCTTGTGCATACTTGCAAGTATACCTGGAGGATAAAATCAGAAGTAGACTTCTTCAAAGTAGAATTGATATAAAGAGTACATTCACTTAAAATTGAGAGTCCCACACTGTTCTTTAGAGAGAACCCATGGGCAGTGTGCCAACGGGTGTCTGCTTCTTGATCGCTGCCATTCTGATAGGTAAGAATGATTCAGTGAAATTTTAATATGCCCATCCCTTAAGGTAAGGTTGAATGTGTTAAGTATCTGAGCCACTGTTCATATATTTTTCCCCTTCTTCTGTTGGGGTGCTGGTCTTTCTGACTTGTAGGAGCTCATTCTTCATTATTAAAATAAGTACTTTGCCTCACGCTGCAAATAGTTTCCTAGTGTTGCCTTTCTGCCTTCTTTATGGTATTTTTACCATGTAGATATTTTTATTTTTCTGTATCAAAAGTTTGACTTTTATGTGATTCAGAAAAGACTGCCTGCTCTTCATTTGTGTATATAAATTCCATGTTTCCCCAGGACTCTTAGGGTTTTTCTTCTTATGCTTAAGTCTTTAATTTGTCCATTTAGATCTTAGTTTGGCACAAGACAAGGAGCCACCTTGTTTATTTTTTTTAAATGTAGATCACTATCTACATGTCTAAACTTTTTGTCTCTACTATTTTGAAATGCCTCCATCATTCTATATGAAATCCCCCATGTATTACATTTTATTTCTAGATTTTAAAAATTCTATTCCAACAGTCTGTCTTTTTGTACCAATACCATGCTGTTTCAATTATTTTGGCTTCATGATATCTCTTATGGGGCTAATATGTACATCATTCTTGTTTCTCTTAACTTTTCTGGCCATTCCTGCCCCTCCTCCCATATGAACCTTACAGATTTTCAATCTAAAACAGATTCTAACTTTGAACCTACTACAAGTTTAGAGATTCAAAAATATATGAAAGGTTTCGTGCTCTGGTCATCTTCTCGCCCCACTCCATCCCTGGAGAAGGAATGATAGCTTCCATCACATTCTCACTGGTGTTAAATGTTCCTCCTCTAAGAACTACTGTTCTAAAGGTGGGAATAGTTCTGACTTTAATTTTAAAATGTTTTTTTTTTCCCTTACAATTCCTTTATTTTTTTTTAAAAGATTTTATTTATTTATTTGACAGAGAGAGAGAGATCACAAGTAGGCAGAGAGGCAGGCAGAGAGAGAGGGGGGAAGCAGGCTCCCCACTGAGCAGAGAGCCCAATGCGGGGCTCAATCCCAGAACCCTGAGATCATGACCTGAGCTAGAGGCAGAGGCTTAACCCACTGAGCCACCCAGGCACCCCTCTCACAACTCCTTTAAAAAAAAAAAAAGAAAGAAAGAAGAAAAGAAAAGATATGAGTCAAAAGTCATTCCTGTAGTTATTTTCTTCTGCAATGTTACTGAGGTTCTTCCGAGAGATACTCCTAAAATTAATTGTTCTTTTTCTTCCAAGTATTGATTCAATTGCTACTGCTCTGTCACTGTGACTTCTCACACCTGTATTGTAAATAAAAAAACATAAGAGACTTGGTAGCATAATGTCAGGTGGTACACAGGGAGAGAAGGTTGTGTTCTTATGGGGAGATCAACATGCCTGATAGAAAGCTGTGTCACTGAATCATAGTTTAGCTATATCTCAAGACAAAGCTAGAGCCATACCTCTTTGCGGTCATTTGGACTTAATTGTGCAGTGCCCTGTGTAATAGGCACAGTGTACCGTATGCTGATCATAAAAGGGCCTACAAAGAACCAAATGTACATAGAGCACATTAAAAAGATGTTCTAAGTCTGACTTGAAGCCAAATGCTAGCCACAGTGAGCATGAAGTATTCTGCCACAAATTTTGCTTGTTATCCTTACCCTAGGCATGCTTTGGTAGAATGATCTAGAGAGCCTAGAGCTTTTTAACACTGTCCAAACAGGTTTGAAAAGAAACTTATCTGCCCCTTGGCAAGCATTCTTCTGTAGCAAGCATGGGAGGGCTCAGCCCAAGATTGGTCTTCCGAGAGCCTACTGGGATCATGTGACCACCCTTCCTGTTGCTGGCCAAACACATTCATCCCTTCAACCTCCCTAAAGGGAGCCTGTGCTCTTGCTTGAGAGGTACCTGATGGCCAGACTGGACAATTTGCTAGATCTTGGTTGCACATTGCCTTCTGGCCCTCAATCCCAGCCCAGAGCTCATGTTGCCTTTGTGTCAGCTTAGGTCCCCTCCCCATAAGTGAACTCTTCTGTGGCCTTCTTTTTCACCCTAATCAAGGGACACTCCTTTCTTCTACCTTTTATATTCCATTTTCTTTGTACCACACACTGTCTTTTATTGTGTTCTCATCTACTTTCTTAACTGCCAGCTCCTGGAAAGCTTGTCTGGGGATGTCCAGTGGTGCCCTCCAACACTGACTGACAACCATCACCATCACTGTGAGCGATTATGTCAGGCGAGGATCTCTGGGAGCAGTGCAAAGCTTAAAACCCGAGTTGGAACCGCAGGACAGGGATGGGGGGTGTGTGTTCAAGGGCAGTGGTTTCCAAGCAGTGAAACAGCAGCAGTGGTTGGGATGGGTTTTGTGTGTGCCTAGCCAGTCAGGAAGGCTAACGGCGAGACTGTGCTCACACCAAAGTGTGAGGATAGCACCTTGACATTTTATTTCGGCTCTTAACATCTGTCTAGCTCATGTTTGACCCACATGGATCCACAAGCACCTTGACTTTCTAATACAGCAGTATTTGTTTTTACACACTAGGATTTCCAGGGATCTGTTGTATTTTATTTTCTGAAACGTATCACTTGGTTGAAAATTACTTTGGTAGCTATGGTTCTAGCAAGTGAAGTGTGAGACGCGATGTTTTTCTCCTAGTACTGAGAGCTCTCTTGAGTCTCCTTAGGTAGCCTTGAGGTGTACTAGATTTCAAAATACAGTGAAAAGATCGCACTGCCCTGAGGAAGTTTTCCATGTCCCATGGAGGGCCCTCTTTGCTGGCAGAGCTGTTGTACCACAGAGCTGACCCATGCCTGTGTTGCCAGGAATCCTGTCATCCAGACAGCTCCCTGGTGTCCCACTCTGGATGCTAGAGGTGCTGGTTACAGCACCGACTGCTCCCACGAGGGAAAAGGACGTGGGGTTCTTGCTAACAAGATAATCCGTGCACCTGGTCTAGCAGGACTGATCTGACTTCCTGTCCTCAGTATGGTTGTGGCCCAGAGCTGAATCTTCCTGTCTTCATGGGGTGAAGGAAGTCTTTTCCTGGTACGGGGGCACGGGGTGTGTGTCTTGTGTTCAGGCTGTCGGGGGGTGGTAGCTTAGGTATCAGCCAGTTCAAGATGTAGGTAGGCATGCAAAGGCGGGAGAGGTAATTCTGTAAAGAACAAGAATTAGCCAGACTGCTAGGCCTTCTACTGAGGAATGTGTGTAGGTTACTTTGTTTTAGAAATCTGTCTACTTCCTTTCACATGAACCACCCTCTTGCAGACAAAACAATCAAAACAAAGAAGCCGGCCCCACATAAAACAAAATTTTGAAGCAGAGGGTGGGTTTCTGTGTATGTCGTCCTCCCTCCATTCACAAAGCCTCTCCCATCTGTGAGCTGTACCCCTCACAGCAGCACCCAACCATGGGTGCCTGTTGTCACTTAGGGTGGGAAAATGGTCAGAGAGCCTGGAGCATCTGCCCTTAGTCCCTTGGGCTGCTTGGCCTTGTACGAGTGAGTCCTAACTCTGTTTCTCGCCCCCTCACTTTCAGTTTCCCTGCGAGCACGCCCCCAAGATGGCAGAGGAGAGCAGCAATACCAGGGACTGCATGTCCTTCAGCGTGCTCAACTGGGATCAGGTGAGCCGGCTGCATGAGGTCCTGACCGAGGTCGTCCCCATCCACGGACGAGGCAACTTTCCAACCTTGGAGATAACACTGAAGGACATCGTCCAGACCGTGCGCAGCCGGCTGGAGGAGGCGGGCATCAGAGTGCAGGACGTCCGGCTGAACGGCTCTGCAGCAGGCCACGTCCTGGTCAAAGACAACGGCCTGGGCTGCAAAGACCTGGACCTGATCTTTCACGTGGCTCTTCCCACGGAGGCCGAATTTCAGCTGGTCAGGGACGTGGTGCTGTGCTCCCTTCTGAACTTCCTGCCGGAGGGCGTGAACAAGCTCAAAATCAGCCCGGTCACTCTGAAGGAGGCGTACGTGCAGAAGCTGGTGAAGGTGTGCACAGACACGGACCGCTGGAGCCTGATCTCCCTCTCCAACAAGAACGGCAGGAACGTGGAGCTCAAGTTCGTCGACTCCATCCGGCGCCAGTTTGAGTTCAGCGTGGACTCTTTTCAGATCATTCTGGACTCCCTGCTCTTCTTCTACGACTGCTCCAGCAGCCCCATCTCTGAGCACGTCCACCCCACGGTGATCGGGGAGAGCATGTACGGGGACTTCGAGGAAGCCTTCGACCACCTGCAGAACAGACTGATTGCCACCAAGAACCCCGAAGAGATCAGGGGCGGGGGACTGCTCAAGTACAGCAACCTCCTCGTGCGGGACTTCCGGCCCACAGACCAGGAGGAGATCAAAACTCTCGAGCGTTACATGTGCTCCAGGTTCTTCATCGACTTCCCGGACATCCTCGAACAGCAAAGGAAGCTGGAGACCTACCTTCAAAACCACTTTGCCGAAGAAGAGAGGAGCAAGTATGACTACCTCATGATCCTTCGCAGGGTTGTGAACGAGAGCACCGTGTGCCTCATGGGGCACGAGCGGAGGCAGACCCTGAACCTCATCTCCCTCCTGGCCTTGCGCGTGCTGGCGGAGCAAAACATCATCCCCAACGCCACCAACGTCACCTGTTACTACCAGCCAGCTCCCTACGTCAGTGATGGCAACTTCAACAACTACTATGTGGCCCACCCTCCAGTCACCTACAGTCAGCCGTACCCTACCTGGCTGCCCTGTAGCTAAGCTTGAGACCTGAGGGCTTCCACAGTGGGAACCCCAATAGGGCAAAGGCTCTCAGGGAAGGGAGCCTCCTTCTAGGTGTAGGTGTTTGGCTTTTAAAGGGGAACTCAGCTCTGATTCTGCTCTTTTTTTTCTTTGTGCACCCATTGGAATGGGTCTACAGTCTATCATGAGCCAACCCTGAAGGGACCCGATATTCCAGTGCCACTTTGGAAAATGCTATAGGAAGGACCACCTCTCCACATCTTTCCAGGATAGACACTAACATGCCATGTCCCCAACACACGCACAGGGAGATTGGAGCTCCGTGCACTAATGGAATCTGGGAGAAAGCTTGGGCAGTGTCTCTTCTCACTCAAGCCTAGAGTAGGCTCTGTTGGCCCTCACGGGATTCTCAGCTGTTCTATGAGAGTTGTGGTTGCAGTCTATTTTCTTGTACCAATTTTAGCCAGGCAGCAAATGGTGGACATGAGAGTGGTCTCGTGACTTCATTTTTGTTCAAGGGACTGAATTGCTTATGTTTATTCCCTGTTAGCAGAGCTGAGGGTTTCTTTCCTGAACAAACCAAAGCTGGTAGCTGGAGAATTAAGATCTGGTTGACAGTGGTTTATGGTTTAGATGCTGTGCTCTCACGAGGAATCGTGATATATTGCTGAGGAAAAAAAAATGACCTTTGCTTGAAATGTAACTTGAAAACAAAATAAAATGTGGAACATAATGTTAAAGCAGAATTGTGGTGGTGGCGGTGGGGTGGGGGAGGGGGTGATTGTAAATAGGAAACGTGAATGTTCAGTTTTTTTTTTTTTTTTTCTTTAAGGAATTCTTATTGAATGACACTTTCCCCCCCTTGCCTTAGCAGCTCATCACTTTAGTTTTGCTCTTCCTAAGACTAAGGATTGTGCTGAGTCTAGAGTCCTAGTAGTGAGAGGGTCTTCCCATGTTTTAATTGGAAACCTGTTTTGGTCACATTCCCAGTATGACAAGCTGTTTTTCTGGAGTAGCGTGGCTGATTGTTTTTTGTTTGTTTTTATTCTTTCTTCAAAAAATAGTGATTTCTTCTCCAGGCTGTTTTTGGGCTGCAGATGAATTCAGGATTTTCAGTAGAAAGGAATGACCTGTAGAATGACCTGCTGTTGTGGGCAGAGTTCTCTGGCTCACGATTGCTTTAGAATTGAACCCGCTGTCCCTGTGCTGTGTGCGAGGTGGAGGTTTAGGGCTCATTTGGGCTTGGTGTGCACTGGAGCTGCCAGGGCTCCTTGAATGATTAATTCTGGGGGATTTGGGAAAGAATGAAGTAAATGGAGAATGGTCTTTCTTATTCTGGTAGACTTGACTGTACTTGTGTCTGTTGTGCACTTTAGAAGGAAAACAGTGTTAATCTCCAGTCCAAAGCAAGCTTGGTAAATGGGAGAGTTCTAGGCTACTGCTTTCCCAGTCATTCAGATAAGGAATTTTTTGTGTTTTGAAACTTTTCTGGGATCTCTTAGGAAGCATTGCTCTAGGGTATTGAGGGCACAGGAACTCAGTATGGCCAGCCAGCTTGGTCTATAAAGTGATTTCATCAAATCCATGCTCCTGATTTTTTCTTTTCTTCCGTGGCCAGAAAAACCCCAAGCCCTGAGTGATTGCTTTCCTTTTTCCTTGCCTTACACAATGAAGATACTTTAAAAAAGAAAGGCTTAGCAGAAAACAAGTGGTTTCCCTTTTTCTGAAGATGGTATTTTCAGGGTTTTTTTGGGGAATGTGAGGTCTTGGTCCTCTTAAAAGCAGATAGGGCGTGACTGAGCCTCAGGGTCCAGCTGGTATCCGTGTTGTGTTACATTAGGTGAATAGAAACCACTTCTGTGTGTAAGTGACCGGCTCCGGTTTGCCTGTGAACGGTAGTTACATTTGAATGCTCTGGCTTTGAGTCTAGGCTAGTTCCATACTGAGGGGGTGCCCAGCATCCTTCAGGGTTAAAAGGGGGTAATGAAGAATGAACCCTAACTTTAAAAACTATGTACTCATCCATAACATTAAAAGGCTGCCATTGTGGTCTAAGGGCAACATCTTTGTGCAAAACTGACAGATCTGATTAACCAAAACTTTGAGATGTGATGAAGCCACCAACATAAGCACTTGCTAACAGAAGTCAGTATTGCTCCTACTAGAAGGCTTGAGGATCAGGGTGATGAGGCTCCAGATGAAGATAGAATCAGAACCACATCAAGTAATTAAATTTCCACTTTGCCCTTGGAGTTTTTTCTGCATATATATATATATTTTTTTTTTGTTTGTTTGTTTGTTTTTTGTTTTTCTTTTGCTGTTACTAGTCGTCCTCTGAGGATGAAGGGAAGCCCAGAAATGGTTAGAAATTCCCAGTCAACCCCCTACCCCCCGCACCAGTTCTTTACCACCATTGCACCATGACCATCTTAGTGCAATATGTTCACCTGAAGTTCTTAGTCAGCCCTGCCATTTGGGAGTTTGAAAGTAGACACGTGTTCTAGAATGTTCTACTACATCAGGGTAAAAAGCTGCACTGACCAAAGCTGAGCTTTTAAAACATCACCCTGGTCCAGTGGTGTCTCTACCTGCTCTGCAAGGCCTTTGCCGGCCTCAGAATAGATTGGATAACCTTGAATTTCAGGTGTTTGGAAATTCCAGCTGAAACCTGCCTTTCATGCTGCTCACACAAGCACCAGGTCCCCTGAACTGGTACTGAGACCTGTGGTTCCTCTTTTTGTGTGTGTTGAGTAACATGAAACTTGGCAGTGGTCAAGGGCACTAAAGTTCAAGTACAAATTCTAATATAAATCTAAGCAGTCTCATTTGCTTCAGGACTCTGAAGTTCTCTAATGCTTTCTGCAAGTATGCAGCTTGTTTTCCTGGCCTGCTTCTTGGAATCCATTTGAGCGGCAGTGAGATTAAAACAGTACCGTTTCCCCTCGTGTTGGCAGAAAGGCACAGCCTGAATTCCTGGCCTTAGGCTTCAGTCTCACCCTTACATTTTACTTTGGCAGTAAGACACGATTCCTCACTCAACTTCAGCTCTGAAACTAAACTCTATCACGGACACCTTCCAAAGCGGGTTCCTGCTAAGTCCATGTGGGCTGGGGTGCTGCCCACACCTGGGAGCACCTGGCAGCTGGGGAGAATCAGGGAGGAAAGATGCTGGGGCCCTGCTATGTGCTGACAGATGTGGCTTGGTGTTCGAGTTCTCCCCTCTCCGCACCCCACCTGATTTTTTTCCCCAGGGATTTGAGTCACTGCAAGCTGTGTATAAACCCATGTTTTGTGGTGACATACTAATAATCACATCGCATTAATAATCACAGTGCCCCAAATCTGCTTATCCTTCTGCCTCCCTTCGAGCACTAGCTCCTTCCCTTCATGGTAGGTTGGGATTTTAACTAGCACTGCTTTGTTAACTTTGGGAAATGGTGCCACTCGAGAGTGACTTCCTCAGTTTAGGAATACCTTCTTTCTAGTGAACTTGCAAGTACTGCTGCCTGGTTTCGGGATGCTCCTAGATTCTGGGCTCAGATATATTGCTAGTTATCCACCTGTGGGAAGAGACCCTGTAGCTCCCCAGGGCCATGATTTCCTGGGTATCACTCTGGGGCTCTCTCTGAAGGAGAACCCTTTGGTTGGATTCTGTAAGGTGAAGGACTCCTGTTTGCCAGGGTTGGAGTCCGATCCTTAATCTGGCAGAGACCAGGATGTCGCAGCTCCTTCTGGAACCTACTGAAGTTTAGCCAATTACTTTCAGAGGACCAAGGGAGGATGGGTTTTAAAAGACCTGGCAACTTTTCAGGATTACTTGTGGAGACTCCTGAAGGTGAGGATCAGGAAAGAAAATGTGTTTTTGTTTTTGTTTTGTTTTGGTGAGTTTTCAATCTTGTTTACCTATCACTTTTTCAAAAATAGTTTAAGTGTAAGCTAAAGAAAATGCTTGGAGGTTTGCCTAGGCTGGTGAGAGTTGGTAAAAATTGTCATGTGTGTTTGTATAGGAAGGTGAGAAGATGGTCCACTAAAGAGGAAGTCATTAAATAATATGGATATATGGGTGTTTTAAAGCTCAAGTCATCTGGTCTCTACCCCCTCAAAGGATTACAAAAAATAGCTGCTTTAGGAAAATTAAGAGTATTTATCCAGTCATTTCCAAATTAATAAAGATGAAAAGTAAGATACTCATTAGACTGAATTGGAAACATTTTGTTATTCTTGATTTGCCTTTGAAATACAAAGTTCTTAGTGATGCCTACAATATGTGAGGCTTCCTCTTTGGTGTGATGTCACTGACCTTCTTATGTGATGAAGGTGAAATCACTTGTCAATGCAAACTGTATTAGAAGTTGATGAAATAAAGCTTTGAGTTTGAGAAATAAAGATATATTTAAAAAAAACCCCAAAACCTCGCCTGTTATGGTCATTTCTCCATGTCTCCTCAACAGTGAACTTGTTTTAGGTTTCAGGAAACATGTGTCATGGTGGGGTGGGGGAAGGGTCAGTTAATAACATTCTCAGCCTTAGATATTTCTCTGAGAGATGGTGCTTTCTCTGAGGGAAGAGGTGTGTGCTCACCTTAAGGACCGTAATTCCCTTCACATCTGGGCTCTTCTCCAAGGTGCCCGACTGATTTAAACTGAGTTGCATTTATTGACCCCAGTCTCTTGGCTAATGCCTACATGAGGGGTATAGTCCTGGAATCTACCTTCGCTGGCATCTTGTTTGATTTGGCATTAAAGACTAGGTTCTCTTGACCTTGATCTTGGCCCCAAACCCATTTTCAATAAGAGAACCACAATAATTCAGCCTTCCTATATCCAACCGCTACCATGGCTTCTTCATGTTTTAGAAGTATGGAAGTGATTCTGGATCTAAAACTGCTCAGGAAGGTTGGAGGGACTTTTCCTCTTCTCCCTCTGCCATCACAAGAATTGGGATGGAAACTCTTCCATCTTAGGTTTGCCTCCCAGCCCACTGTGGGGTCCTTTCCCTCCTTGGTACCGCGTATTCCTTCTGAAATGCCCCTTGACTTCGGCCTTTTTGGTACTGCCTTCAGCTCCCGCCTGGGCCACTTCCTGAGTCTTGTCACTTGTCTCCCCTCCGTTTGTCTTGATCCACCCGAGGGCTCTTTCTAAAACAGACGTGCCTCTGCCCCTCGCATGCATTTCAACCTGTTTAAGACCCTGCGATGCAATGGCACCTGTTGGACTTCAGCACACACACGGAGTCCTGCAGGGCCAGCCCCAGCCTACCTTGGCAGCCCTTTCCGCCTCTGCTGGGCAGGTTTGCTTTCAGCATCGGAGTGCACATTTCATCCCATGTAGCCCAGCACGCATTCGGGCCTCTTGGGGCTCTGGACGGAGCTGCCCCATGCCGGGCTTCCCCCGCCCACTGTTTCTGTTGGTGGGCTGACAGGGTTGCATCACTCCTTCCCTGCGATCGCAAACACCTGTCCATTTCATTCCCCCACTGACTGCCTCCCACACAACTGGAGGCAATCTGGTGCCTCGGATGTTGAACCCGGGGTTTTCATCCCTGGAGGACTTGGCCTGAGGCCGTAGCTGCGACAAGGCTGAGTCCTGGATGTGAACCTGGCTGTGTTGTAATGCTACCCTCCAGCGCCAGAAAACGCGGGAGTCCGGGCATCGTCCGGACCAATATTTACACGCAACACACTGTGTGTGGGAAGCGGGGGTGTTCAGTTCCCCGGAATGAGCAGTCATGTCCTCGACACTGTAACACTATTGGTCACCAGCTCTTGACCTCCTGAA